AATCACAGTTAATAAAGTAATTTGAAGTGTTCAAATAATAGTTTAATTCAAGTGACATAAATTCTAAAGAGCATTATATATCCAATATAATTAGACATAACTAAGCACTTCACTATCTCATAAGACGAATTTCTGTTTTAACTGTTTAGAAATAGGCCTACAGGTATACGGTGGACAGTCAGTAAACCATAGATTTAAACTGTTGGTTATATTTTATACATGTTTTTTGTGTTTTAATTTTAATCAATAACAAATGCTTGCAATTTTTTATATTACTTATAGTTTATCAGCATTGAGTAATTTATTTGCATAGATAATTTCTGTGAGTGTTCCTAGATGGCGCTAACGGAGAGAGACTTATCGTAAAATTATGTACTTAAATGCTGATAAATGCAGAATTTTAGCTATCTCCTAGTGACGAATTTTTGTGAAATCGTCGTCAAAGATTCGTCTTCTGGGGGCATCTAAAAATCTATATTTACTAACACTTGCCTCTGTTGATGAAAAGCATTAGTAGTAACATACTGTTACGAAGTCAGGGAATTTGACATATGGGAAATAAAACTATCCGGGGGCAAAGTTAGAGGCTTGAAACGTTTAGGGAATTATCTGGGAAATTTGTTTTTAAATTTGATTTTTTTAAAATATATTGCATTTCAAAATATGAATGCACGAATGGACGTTCACAGAAAATTTTCCAGGGGAGCAAAGCGTGGAGACAAATAATTACATCAATAAATTTTTATTTACTTATTTAACTTTTGGGGATTTTCCACAAGTAGATTATAGAATACAATATTTCATCAATACAAAAAGACAGAAAAAGCCTCCTATGGTTAAGAGTGTAAGGTCTCAATATCTCAATTACTTTTACGATTATAATTTGTGGAATATTTTACTGGATTCCAGAGGACGGCAAATGCTCCGTGTGCCTCTTCTGAAGTCGCCCATGAATACATGTATAATGAATGATTTACTTAAATTTTTTTAATTTTTTTCCCAGTTGTGAACAGCATTGCCACTTTACCTGTTCTACCAAGACCAACATACTAGATAAATACCACTGAGCCCCAGCCGTTGAATGTGCCACGTTTTCACACCTGGATAACGTGATAACACCAACTTCAAAGATGCACATTTTCATCAACTGTAAAGATGCTGTAGCGTTTTAATTAAAACATGTATGATAATGATGTTAATTTTTCGGAGGAGTTGAGCAATTTAAAGAGAAAGTTAAAATTTTCTATGCAAAATTTTTAAATAAAATTGCAGAAGAAATTAAGAATTTATGTATGTACTTTATGTAGTTATTTATGTATTGTTACTGACATTATTTTAAAATCATTTGTAAAACATATTTAGTATTAGGCTTAATTTATTGACTGTTTTCCCCCTTATTGTTTCCGCCCTATTAGCACTAATACCCGATTCAGAATAAACTGCTTAAGGCACTTTAAGGCCTAAATTAACAGAGTTAGCATTTACAAACACAAAAAGTACTTTAAGCTAATGGCAATGTGTTATAATACAGGTGTTTCCCTACTCACGAACAGGTTAAATTCCCAAAGTTTTGTCGTAAGTCGAAAACTAACCTAGAAAGTATATTTGTACACAGAATAAT